TGTTTAGGTGCGGAGTGGCAAGGAGTGTATATTACTGCCTCATCCTCTTCTTCCTCATCACTGGAGATAGGAAGTGGTTACCAGGCTTGGTCCCAATCTAGATGGGGTACTGTTGGTATCGAGTAGAGGAGAGTCCTACTGGGAAGTTTGACTTTGCTGCGTGCAACTCCATTAGAGCTTGCCCACATAGGTTCTTTAGCTCCTCGGAAAGTCTTGGTACTGGATGTCCCTGGTGCCTCGTGGGCCGGTGCTCTGGGTGCCGTCGGTACTGGGGCAGATTTTTCATTTGGAGATCGCATTATTTTAGGCGATTCTCGGTGTGGGGGTGAGTGGGGCCGTTTTTTGGTAGCCTTTCTAGGAGCAGGCTCCTTAGCAGCTGTTGTTGAAGCCGATCCTGTCAGACGTTGCTGCTGGCGATCATTGACCAGGAGGCATCCTGGACTTGAGGTCGGAGGCGGGTCTGAGGGATTTCTCCATCATAAGGAGCTTCAATTGGAGATCCCTGGCGTTCTTTGTCCAGGCTGTCAGTTTTCTACAGTGCGGACAGTTTTGGGTAATGTGTCTCTCGCCCAGGCAACGGACACAATGTGCGTTGCCGTCAAAGACCTGTACGGAGAGTTTGCAAGTCAGGCAACGTTTAAAGCCAGGTGAGCGGGGCATGCCCCAGAGAGAAAGTCTTCTGGAGAAAGAACAGGGATAAATCCTGTTTTTCTTTCTTTCTTTCTTTTTTTAAGGTAATAGCTGAGCACCTGCCGAGGAGGCAGGGGTAAAAGAGAGAAGGAACATAAATATATTTTAGAAGAAAAAATAAAGTAAAATATAAAATATAAAGAGCAAGGGGATAGGGTAGCTAACACTATCGGGAACAACTATGAACTATTAAGTTTATCTGAGGTAAGAGAGGGCGCTGCTGTCGCTCTGACTCAAGCCAAAGGTGGTAGAGAAGGAACAGGGGGACGGTTGGCTGTGCACCCCTATGTAACCGCACAGAGCAATGCGAGATGGCTACAGCGTATGCGCAGCCCAAGCGGGCACTGCTACTAAAAATCTCCGATTACAAGTGCAGGGTGCGAAGACACCTACAGTGGAGCACCCACAGGGACACTCCTTGAAGAAGGATTTGTTATGTTCTTAGCTGACATTGGGGATATTAGACTAGCTATTCTTTCTGGGTCATTATTGTTTTTCTAATAGCTGATATATCAAGTACTTTGCTATAACAAATCTTGCAAACAAGCCTCATTCTCTTCTATATGTAAACAACTTTGTGGAAGCCAGTCAGTCTTTTTTCTCAGCCCATTTTCATAAGTATGTTTTATCTCTTATGTCTAGAGTAAAATGTTTTAGATGTTACATTCAGTATGACATATAAATTGGGTACATTTAAAAAAATCTATTAGTGCATTCATCTTTTCGTCCTGGAATATCTAAACTGGCCAGGTCTGTACCATATATTTTGCTGAAGGGCAAAAAAAACAAAGCAAATGTGTCTCTTTTGACAATCGTTGGATTGGAGGACACAATGAGATTTATGAGATTTTTGTCACCTGTTAATTTATTTTTTCCAATTAATATATAACTCTAATCTGTCACTGATTGTTTCTTCTGGGTGAAGAACATAAGCTTTTCAAGTGTGTGATACAATGCTTGGGATGTAAGGCTCATCCATTCCATTTATTTTCATAAGAGTACTTTTAAAATTGTAGGAAAGAAAGGTTACTCATCTATAATTGGAGTTTTGAATAGCTTACCAGTGTAGAACTAAACTCTGGGTACATCTACACACTAACCCTGAAGCCCTCTGGAAAGTGGACAACTGTGGGACCACACAGACTCATCAAGACATGATAGGGTTCAGGTTGAGATTATATAAAAACACATAGCTCTCACACACTTATTTTTTTGATCCCTTGGAATTCAAAACAAACTCTATAGAACTGGGGATGTATGGTAGAAGATGTGGCCTGTTCTAACAAGTTACTTGAACCTGAGTTAATGGAAGTAACCTTTATGCTCCTTCAAGTATAGTTATTATAGATTCTTCACTCTTGGGAAATGCACAAACAGTACAAGATAGATAAGAAGGTAAATGAAAATACCTATTTAAACAATGATTACAGAACTGCTCACTCAAACTGTGCATTAGACTTTGAAGCTAAATAAAAAGACTAATGTGGCATAAAAGGTTTGGGAGCTAGTAACAGAACGAAGATCTAATTTTTCCACAGCTGGAATATTCCAGTGGTATGCCATAGAAACCACCATGGAGCTAGTCAAATGAATCACACCACCTTCACGTATACCAGTGAGCTTAGCAAGTTTCTCTTCAGGATTTTATTCATTCTGACAGACCTTGAGAGGAAACTTCCTTTCCCTTAATCTTAGCACAGAAAATTACGGTTAATGTTTTATTCTTATTACACAATTCCTGTGCCCAGTGGCAATCTGTAATACTGCCCCACAAACTGAGCATCTCTTGCGTTGTGTGCGCTTTAGGACTGAGTCGCCATTTTGAAATGAGGATGGCTAGGCTGGGGAAAAAGAGTACTTCACAGAGTGATCTCAGAAGGGAAATTACTCCGCCATGTGCTAAATAATACAGAAAACATCAGAAAAAGACTTAGTAGTAGAGGCAAAGAAAATAATGACTTCTTACAATGTAAACCGTAAAAACAATTAAAAACAAAAAAGAGGGAAAAACTATTGCTCCCAGTGAAGGTAGAACCTCTAATGGGAAGCGGAGTGGGCAAAGCTTAATTTTCTAACTATGAAAATGCATGAATTTTCTCTAATCTTCATCCAGAAAAAGGGATCCAATTAGGGATGGATTGAGTTATGATAAAGAATAGACAAACATCATTCACATATTAAATTTTCAGTAATATTATGTAAATCCTGTATTTCAATGTAAACAGTTTTACACAAGATTATAAGAACAGTGAAAAATAGTTAATTCAGAAAGTTTAGGTAAAGCCCTCTTCTGTTCTCCCTTTAAAAAAAATAAAATATTCTAATTACTAAAACCCTCTTGAAGACCAAAACCAAGTTGTCCTACTCTTGAAGTGTGCCCATGGCTCTAGTTAGTGTTAAAGGGAAGTTTCACCGCCTACCCCAAAAGCACGCGTCACCAAGACCAGTGGTTCTCAACCTTTTGGGGCTCAGGCCTTATTGTAAATATTTATGGCCTGTTGCAACCCAGTAAATAGTCTGGAGGCTCTGGAGCAGAGACGTAACTAGGCATTTTAGCGCCTGGGATGAGCAAGCGTATTTGTGCTTCCTACCAGAGGCGACACGGGGGGCGGGGGGGTGCTGGGTCACCCCCCAATTTTTTGATTGTGCCTCCCCCAACCAAGCCAGACTGGATGTCCAGCTGAGGTGAGTCCACGGGTGGAGGTGGCGCTCCCTCCCCGAGCTCCGCCCCATGGGGCTGGCCCGAGCCATTCCCCGCCGCCTGGGTCTGGCCTGAGCCATGTGGCATCACCAGCCCGAGCCACCCCTGCGGCTGTGTGTCCAGGGCATCTGCCCCGCGTGCCCTGCCCTGGTTATGGCCCTGCCCTGGGGTGGTTTTGGTTGGATCCTGCCCCCTGGAGGGGTTGGGTCCTGCCCGCACAGCCCCCCTCCCCCACAGGTGCATCTCCTGCTGCTCCTGTGCTGTGGGGCTAGCGGGGTTTGGCTCTCCGCTCCGGGCGCTGCAACCTCTGGAGCTGCAGTGCCACTCAGGTTTGGCCCAGCCCCCGACTGGACCAAATTTGTGAGAGTGGAGTTGTGACCTGGCTCATGGGACTGCAGTGCCACTCATGACGGCTGGGCCAAACCTGAGTGGCACTGGGACCCTAGAGGTTGCAGTGCCTGGAGCAGAGATGCAAGCCCAGCCAGCCCTGTGGGACAGGAGCCACAGGAACTGCCACATGACCCTTTTAAACGCTCTGGTGACCCAATTTTAGATCCCAAGCCATGAATTGAGAAACCCTGACCTAGACCACAGAAATAGAAGATTAGAACAGCAAAGCTCCATGTTTCAATGATATTCCTCAAGAACACATGACTACGCAAAAGAACTTCCAGTTCACTTAGCCTTCTGCATATAAGTAATGAGTGAACAAGAGTTTGCTGCAGATACCAGGTGATTTGCCCTATGTTGTTATTGTCCAAAATTGAAGCTGCAGTTTTTGTTTTGTTTTGTATGTTGCTGTGATTTACTGTACAATATCATCTAGATTAAGCTATTTGGTTCATATATTTATCAACCTAAACTCTAAAAGTCTACATATACAAAGCAATACTCCAATTCAACAACTACTAGCATTATACTCCATATTAATATTCTACTTTAATGTGAGATCTCCAAGCATAAACTAGACAGAGCACTTTCATGCTATTATGAAAAATGCTTAGTGTGATGCTTCGTATTATAACTATCTATAATCAAAACATCAAACCTAATCTTCCACCTAGTCATCAAATGTAAAAGCACTTTTTTAAAGTTAAGCTTATTTAAAGCAGATGGTCAGAATCCTCATGGTTTTCTTGAAAGAATTTTCCAAACTAATGGTTTTGAAGCCTAATTTGAACAATATTGGACGTTATCACTCTTTCTGGTTCAATGAGTAAGAATTTGTAATTCTTGTATTATAATTCTGTGGATAACATGACAGGAATTTACAGGACATTAACTTTTCAATGAAGGTATTCAATAGTGCAATTAAAGGGACCAACATAAAACTCCAGTAAATCTAAAAGTCTTCCCTTTACATCTATGTAAAGCAGAAATTTACACGAGTTACAATATTACTAACTGCATAAAATACAGTAGAAAATGCCATTGCAATTCTCAGCAACTTGTTTCACCATAATGATGGATGGTTTTGTGGGATCACATCTGTGGGTGTCTCAAATGGCACTGATGTCTACTCAAGTCCTGGAAAATGAGTAGCAAAAAACACATAGGCAAAAGTTTGAAAACATACTATTTTGTAAAACGTTTGTAGCTATAAACTTACCTTTGTTATTTGCAAGGCCATAATCAAATCCTTGTCCATTGCTACAAGCAGACCCCTTATTGAAAGCTTGTATTGAAAAAGGGCTTGGAGGAGGCGTCTGAGCATTTTGATCTAGCAGAACTTGCTCTGTAAAACAAGCCATCACTTCAGTGTTAGTATTTCTTTTATCGCTGATTTGCAGTGGAAAGATGAGTCACAAGACAAAAGAATGATAGCTTTTAATGTTATTTTTCTGTTAGGCCCCCAAACACACAGCATAAGTGTAAAATCTTTGTCACTCATGTCACAAGCTAGCTTATGCACTACTGAAAATGGACACCACACTCATGCTGTGTGTTCAGGAATGTAATGAAATCCAGTTGTTCATTATGCTTTACTTAACATTCTTAACAGACTGATGGAGCTGTGAGGCAATTATTGTAAAGGAGAAAATACTCAGCTGGCTTATCTCTTTCAACAACCAGTTCTCTTATCCCCATTCTGGAGAGTCAGTAATGACTAAAACTATTATTTTTGTTAAAACATACTAAATTCAAATTTATTGGTTTGCAAATATGTCTACACTCTTTGGGGGAGGGACTGTCCATGCTCAAACATCTGTAAGCTATCTGACGCATTGTACAAACTAGCATAAACAAATAACTAATATTACTACAAATAATCATTGAAAGTATGTGCATAGTGTTGATACACTAATATGCATAACAGCACATATCAGCCATTCTTTTGCACAACCAGGTAAGACATCTACTGTCTGCAATAGCCGTATTTTGGAAAACCTGACTTATTGAGGAAGGGAGGAGGATCAAATTATTTTCCATTAGCTAGACAGAAAATTCCCCTCATTCATTTGCATGTCTCACCATCATTTAATGGATCTCATTCATTTTAAATTGTAGGTGTCAGGAATTAAAAATATTTTAAATGTTATAATGTTAATATAGCAGTTTCTGATTACCAAATTATTAAAATAGATGGGAAATGAGTTTCCAGTTGCTTTAATTGGTATCCTCTGGCTGCTAACACATCTAACAGTGCTACATTTTAGTAAAATGGCTAAAAAGTCAATTTTAATTAAAAACGTTAACTATAATTGGTGCTTATGTAAATTTCCAGAATACTGAACTGAGCAAAATGAATATAACAAAAACTCAAATCTGTGTGAACATGTATGACAACCATACACAAAGCAAGACATAACACTAAATAAAAATGTAGTAGCAAAATCAAAAGCAGCCATATAATTTTAGCTCAGTTGAAAAAGAAAAGAAAAATATCGGCCAAATGAAAATTATGCAGTTGTTAGGAGAAAATGTACTGCTCTTTTAAAAACATACAGAGATGAAATGTTAAAACATGAAAAAGTGTCTTTTGAAGACAAAAACTTGAAAGAAAAACATTTTTCCTACCTGTCAATAGACCTTTGAATTCTTCTGAATCAGTCTGGTACTGTAGGATTTACCTCCTCCCGTCCTTACTCCCCCAAAAACCAAAACAAAAACCAAGAAAACCCAACCCTGACAATTCCCGTGGGCAATTCTTGAGTCATATTTAGATTAATATATTTTAGATTTTAAGGTTCGAAGGGACCATCATGATCATCTAATCCAACATCCTGCATATAGCAGGCCATAGAACCTTACCCACTCAGTCCTGTAATAGATCCCTAACTTCACTTTGAGTTACTGAAGTCCTCAAATCATGGTTTAAAGACTTCAAGTTACAGAGAATCCATCATTTACACTAATTTAAACCTGTAAGTGACCCATGCCTCATGCTGCAAAGGAAGGGGGAAAACCCCAGGGTCTCTGCCAATCTGACTCCGGGGAAAAATCCTTCCTGACCCAAAATATAACCATCAGGAGGACCCTGAGCATATGGGCAAGAAAGCAGCAGTAAGCTTCTGGTGGATAACATCTGAACAGGAAGCAAAGCATCATCCCACACCCTTAAATTCATGTGTTCTAGACCCAACATCACAGACTATAGGTGAGTATCGGACTGATAGAGAAGTAATTAAAGAAACTAAATTTACAGGAAGAAAAGTTTTCCTAAAGGCTTCACTCCCTCTGCATAAATTCAGGACTGACAAAGACCAAAAAACAAAAAACAAAACAAAACAAAAACCACGAGGGAATTATTGTTGATATAATCATCTAGTGCTGAGACTTAAAGAGCTCAATATATTTAGTTTAACAAAGAGAAAATTAAAGGGTGACTTGATCACAGTTTATAAGTACCTACATGGGGAACAAGTATTTGATAATCAGCTCTTCAATCTAACAGACAAAGGTAGAATAAGATCCAGCAGCTGAAAATTGAAGCTAGACAAATTCAGGCTGGGGAAAAAAACAGTGTACATTTTTAACAATGAGGTAATTAACCATAGGAAAAAGTTACTTGGGGTTCTGGTGGATTCTTAATCTTTGGCAATTTTTAAATCAAGATTAGATAGTTTTTCTAACAGTTATGCTCAAATTAAAACAAATTATTTTGGGAAGTTCAGTGGTCTGTATTATGCAGGAGGTCAGACTAAATGATCACAGTGGTCACTTCTGGCTTTAGAATCTATGATATAGTAGTGTTCGTGTTTGGGGGGGCGGGGGATGCATGGCACGGCATGGGCCCACCCCTGAGGGGAAGGAGCATGCTGGCAATACAGGGTTGGGCGGGCCACTGTGCATCTGGCAACTGCCAGTTTGTAAATAGTGCCCTGTATTGGGCTGGGCGGAGCAGGGAGGCCCCTGCCTGTACCAAAAGGAACCATAAATTTAGAATTAATGTATTGTTTTTTATTTTCCAATAAATATACAAATTGTTTGTTAAATCATTTAAATAATTTGAAATAGATATAGGAAATTGTGACAGTCTGTATCCCTAAGGTCATTCATTTTATAAAACTATGATCAATCTTGTACAAAGTATGCCTTGGGAAGTATCATTTGAAAACTCAATCTGCTGATCATTATTATCCAATGTGTGGCAACATTGTATGTAAAGTTGTAAGATTCTACTGTATGACTTTACTGAGACATGCTCCAAATTTAGAAAAGCAGGCACAAACCAGTGAGGAGTCCTTGTGGCACCTTAGAGACTAACAAATTTATTTGGGCATAAGCTTTCGTGGGCTAAAACCACTTCATCAGATGCACAAACCAGTTCCTCAGAGATAAAAGGCAAACTGTCGCCTCCACTAGGTGTCAGCATAATCAAGTGGACTATCACTTGGTTAAATGGCCATTCTTTGGCAGAAAGAAGGGAGTGAGTGAGAAATTTACATCTTGGCAAACAGACTTGCTGTTGCCTGAACCCCAGGTGGAGACGAGAAATGCTATGGAGAACAGAGGAAACAAATCACCTCTCCCCTCATCTTTACTCCCAGCATTAACAATGGTTGAAAGACAAAAGCAGCATCACTGGATTAGAAGAGGAGTCCTGGCTGAGAAATCCAGCCAGACTGCTGTAAGCATAGGGGAGAGAGAAACCTTTTTGCTTCAAATTTGCTTAGCTTGTTAAGTTAGGTATTAGACCTAAAATAGGCCTATGACCCTGTTTTGCCTTCAGGATCAGGAAGTATCAGGAGTAAAAGCCCTTTCCCCGAATGAAGGAGGGACCTCTTCTATATCTCCTACAAGGAGGAATGATAGTATATCTTGCAGTAGCACAGCCTCGGGAGGGAGGTCCCTGAAGACGGATGGGGAAGGGAAAGGGGCAGAAATAAACTGCATATATCCCACTTCCACCATGCTTAGAAACCAGCTATCTGTTATGATGTGGGCCGAAGTGGGAGAGGCAGTTTGCAAAACTGGGGGGAAAAAATTATGCCACTCTTAGAACTCTTAAACTGCTCTCGACCATCAAAGTGAGCTCTTGAAAGATGCGACCTGCCTTGAACAACCAGCTACCCAAGCAGAGGGTGGTGGTGGACGTCTTTTCTGCTCCTTCCCCTTGGCAGGTCTTAGGCTTGTGTGGCAACCCCATGAAAATGCTGGGACTGATGAGAATGGAATGCCTTCAGCTTCACTGCTGGGGTTAAATGCCCAGGGATTTTAGGGGTGCTCTCGAGTCTGAGACTATGCAGAATCTCATTTATGTTTTCTGAGAAGAATGATGGCCCTTCAAAAGGTAAGTCCAGAACTGTCTGTTGCACCGCTGAAGGAAGGCCAGAAAAGTGCGACCAGGACAAGTACTTCATTGTGATAGTAGAGGCCATGCTGCAAACTGTAGAATCTGATGCATCCAGACCTGCCTTCAGAGCTGTTCTGGCATACAACTTACCCATCTCCATTAAAGGCTGGAACTCTTGTTTCACCTCATCTGGGAGCTTCTCTTTGAACTTGAAACTGTAACCACAGGATGAAATCATAGTGCTGCAGCAAAGTTTGCTGGTCTGCAATGCGAAGCTGTAATCCACCTTTGGAATAAAGCTACTTCCCAAGTAAGTCCAGCTTCTTGTCCTCTATTTTTTGGGGTTGATACCTGGTGCCCTTGTCTTTCTTTCTCACAGTCTGCCACCACTACAAGGGAGCCTGGAGGGGCATGATTATATAGGTGCTTGAACCTCTGAGAGGAGACATCCACTCTTTCTGCAGTTGGAGGCAGGGAAGCTGGAGTCCGCCAGAGGACCTTGATAGGTCTAAGATTAGCTCTCACTATAAACGAGGCTTTTCTATCTGGATCTACAGATACCAAAATGGTCCATCAGCTTGTAGGTGGATGTCTAGGATAACAGCCATCCACCTCAACAATTCCTGATGAGTCTTAAATCATCAGAAGGTAGACAAATAGACTCCATCACAATTGCTTCATTGGGGGATGAGGAAGAGGATGTCAAACAGTACTGGGGGATGGTTCAGTTCCTGCTCCTTTTGTGGCTGCTTGTGAGAGGGATCCTGAATCTGTTTGGTGATGGGCTCAATACTGCTGATAGGGTGTCTGTGGCGTTAATACTCCTGAAGGCCAGTAGATGGAGTCGGCTAAGGTGACTATAGGGACGCCCTTGATTGAAGGGGGAAGCCCCACTGGTTCCAAAAGGGCCATCTGTGTGTAGCCCAAGGATCCCCTCTATAAACCCCTTGCGGTACTGAGGCTGATACCAGGGCTGGTAGATGCCATATTCCAGATGATACAACTGGTTAGGTTGGGACACACAAGATCCCACTTCAGAGTCTGATGAAGAAGCTGCCTCTTCTTCTGACCATGGTGGTGTCAGCCATCAGTACTGGTGAAGAAGGTTCAGACTTTGAAGAAAGGGGGAGCTAGGGAGACAGAGCCGGTGCTGGGCATAAGCAGACTAAGCAACTGCTTAGGGCCCCAAGCAGCTTAAAGGACCCCCTATTCATTATTATTATGTGTTGTGTGTGAGGGAATCCCCAAAATATTCCTGCTTAAGGCTCTCAATGGGCTAGCACAGGGGTGGGCAAACTACGGCCCGGGAGCCGAATCCGGCCCTTCAGATGTTTTAATCTGACCCTCGAGCTCCTGCCGGGGAGTGGACTTGCCCTGCTCCATCTGTGCCGTGACTCTGTGTGCCTCCTGGAAGCAGCAGCATGTCCCCCCTCCGACTCCTACACATGGGGCAACCAGGGGACTCCACACGCTGCCCCGCAGCTCCCATTGGCTGGCAACTGTGGCTAATGGGAGCTTCAGGGGCGCCACCTGGCCATGCCTCCACATAGGAGCCGGAGGGGGGACATGCTGCTGCTTCCGGGAGTTGCTTGAGGTAAGATCCCCTCCAGTGCCCCAACCACCTACCCCAGCCCTGATCCCCCTCCCGCCCTCTGAACCCCTCGGTCCCACCCTCCTGCATTCCAGAGCCCGCACCCTCAGCCGGAGCCCTCACCCCTCACCCGCACCCCAACCCCCTGCCCCAGCCCCCCTCCCACACCCTGAATTCCTCATTTCTGTCCACACCCAAGAGCCCTTGTGCCAAAAAGTTTGCCCACTCCTGGGCTCCCACAACATCTGTGGCAAAATCATCTGCGGCTTTCCCCTAGACAATATTACCTTAATTGGTACTCTGATGGCTGAATTTGATGGAATTGCCCAGTATGGAGGTGAAGGCGCTGGGTGCCAGTGCTAGGCGAGTCTCTTGAACTGTTGGTGATGGTGGCACCGAGAAGTTTAACAACTCTCTTGCAGCCTCAAACACCTCAGGAGTAGAAATGACCAAGAAGACACTATGGTACTAGGGTATGCAGCCAGCAAAGGTGCTTCGGGAACTGGTCTCAACAGGCCCGTGCCGTGCTCTGAAGGCAACGAACTCCCCTGTTTAGAGGTGTGCTTTGGGATATGTTTCTTCTTTGAATGTCCTCCCAAGTCAATTTCAGCAGCATGTATTTTAATCTGGCTGCCTCCCCCCCCCCTTTTTTTAATTGGGGCTTTAAGCCCTTACAAATGCCACATTTGTCACTCATTTGAGCCTCCCGCAAGCACTTAAGACAACAGGGGTGAGGGTAACTATTAGGTGTTGCCTTACCACAAGAATGGCAGGGCTTGAAAGCTGGAGCATGCTGCATATCTGTGGTACTGGGGTGGGTACTCAGACTAGGCGCCAGAACCACACAAAAGAACAAACACATTTATTTTAAACTAACCAACCAAACACTAAACTACACCTAACAGGTACTTTTTATAGATTTTGACTAAAGACTTGCAGAGAGCTGGGACACCTACAACAACTGTCATGGGTGGTAGAAAGGAATGGGGGGAGGGGGCGTCAAGGCAGCTTGATCCTTTATGCCTGCATGTGGTGCACTTGTGCTGCCCTGACTAGTGCCACTAAGGGAAAAACTCAATTGTGCACTGAGCACACAAACACCTGCAGTGGAATGCACATGTGCAATCAGTCAAAGAAGAACAGCTGTTAAATATTTTCTATCTTTACTGTTCCTTTATTTGCTCACTACACATTATCCAACTCTTCACAGAATTAGGCAGGCCTGCTATACAGCAGTACAAGTTTGTTTTCTGCACATCATAATGAAATAAGACAAGGTTACTTTGGAATGCGCACAGACGAGAAAGGACAACACTACAGGATAGCAGAATAAATGGAAAAAGGATTACAGAAGTTAGTAGACCTAGAAGATCAAGGCTACTTTCATGCAAATATGAGATAAAATTCCCTAACGGAGCTTGTAGCAAATATTACAATTCTATCACATTTAAATCTAAGTACAACGGTCAAAAGCAGTCCAGCTGACTCCTTAGATCCAAAGAAAGCCCCAGTACTACTACTTTAAGTATAGTGTCCTCAAAATGGAGGGAAAAACTGTGATTTTAAGCAGATGTAGCAGTAGTGTGCTTAGATACTAAATTAGGTTAAATAAATGGCACATTAAAGATCTATTTTGGATGGGGTACATACAAAAACACATCATCCTGAGAAAATATCCCACTCTACTCTAATTGATCATGGAGGTAATTAAGCTAGTATTTTCAAAGGAATTGACATTGATAAGGAAAAATATTCTTCTAGCCAAGAGCACAAGTTCAGAGACCTCTCTCAAAATCCACAGAACTTGCTCAAAATATGCTGGTTGTAATGACCTAAAACATGATTGTATTTACTGCATTTTCTGGAAGTCAGGGCCGGCTTGCAGCAAGCCCCGCCCCCAGGAATCGAGCCGCACTCTGGCTGGGGTTGCCGGGCTTGGGTCCGACCCGGAGCCGCGCCGGACCCGAGCCACGCCGCGCCGCGGGGGCCGGGCCGGACCCGAGCCACGCCGCGCCGCGGGGGCCGGGCCGGACCCGAGCCACGCCGGGCCAGAGCCGCTGGGGCCTGCGGGAACGGGCCGTGCCTCCCCGGAGCCCTTCTCGCGCCCCCACCACGCCAGCTTACCTGGTGCTGCCGGCCCGCCCCTGCTCCTTTTCAGACTTCCCGCGAATCTCTGATTCGCGGGAAGCAGGGGAGGGGGCGGAGCGTTCAGGGGAGGGGAGGAGGGGGAAGTGAGCTGAGGGCAGCGCGGGGCCCTCGCAGCGCGGGGCCCAATTCAGCCGAATCGGCTGAATCGGCTTAAAGCCAGCCCTGCTGGAAGTCATCTTGCCAGTCCTAAATTAACATTCACCACTCCTTTATTTTAATATGAAAAACAGGAAGCACTGAGCAAAAGAACATCAGGTTACCAACTACAGATTTTTCCTCATTTCATATATGCAGTTTAAAATTTGTTGGCAGTTTTTAGCAGGGTACTTTTGTGTCCCCAATCCAATGGTTGGGATTATATGTTAAACTCAAAATAAAAAATTCTAAGATGCTGTACAAATTCATTCAGTCCTTTTTTTTTTCCCCCTTTCAAGTGGAGACAAAAGTAGATTGAAGAAAGTTGCCTCAGGAAGTTCAGGATTGGTTGTCTGAAAACTGAAACCCCATAAACAGAAGAAAGGACAACACTGGTTCATAATTGGTACAGAAGAATGACTCAGAAAACACTTACAAAAATGTCATGTTTGCAAAATCTAAATGTCTGAAGACTGTACTATAAAATTTAATTTAAAAAAAAAGTTTCACTTCATATTTTCTCCAACTGGGTTATTTTATAAGTTACTGTTTTACATCTTTCAAACTCAGTTCTTTCTTAAAACTTCCCCTCCCCCAACTTTATTTTGGCAAACTCTTTAAGTAGTTAATTAAAAAAAAAAAAAAGACAACTTGCCATCTTCGTGCCGCAGATACTGGTTTCCACCTCTGTCTCTAGCTAAGGACCATGCCTCGCCTTCATCACTCTCACAGAACTCTACCATGCTGTTCTTATCCATTTGCACCCATGTACCTTCAGAATTAGTCACCTGGTGCACACACATAAAAAAGCAGTTTATTCACTTTTCAAATAATCCAGTGCTCAGATCCAGCAACATGCTTCAGTATATGAAACAATATGCTCATTTCCATCATGATATTACAAAAACATGTTTCTGAAATTAAGGCCACAGCCTGAGGTAGAACAAAAACCAATTCCATGTATGGCAAGTTTAAAATTATAAATACTTTCACAATATTAGGCCAGTTTATGTTTAGAAAAAAAAAAAGTTCAATAGTTGACCAACCACACAAACCCAAATAAGCTCTTAGAAGGTGTTATCCAACAACCTCCATGCTTTTTTGGCACCTGAAACACCAAAATAAATTATATTGTCTAGTTATACATGAAATATTTGTAAATTTGCTAATTATGTTCCTGATGTTGTTTGAGAAAAATAGCATGACACACTACATCCTCAAGCTCATCTCAATAGGAAAATTCCAAAGCATGATGACAAGTACAATAACAATTGAATAAATACAGTGAAATAGGATCATTTTTGAACTGATCACAGCCCTGGAAATGATTCCTCCAACAAGGTAAATTCACTTTGATACCCAAGATCAGTAAGTGAAACAGATAATCTTATTTAGCAATGAATCAACCATACTGTAACAGAAATATATAAATAAGCATAGGTAACTGCGGTATTAGAAAATTCAAGTTTAATGTAACTCCAATTAATGAACACTTTTCTACAAAGCAAAATACATAACTGAATTAGTATTTATAATATAAACCAAGTTCAAATGTTAACATTTAATCACCAGGGTTGGAAAAGCAAACCTTGTGTAGGGGAAGATGCTTTTGTTGCGTTTACTACTGATATAAACTGGTATCTATGAAGACATGAACTGAAGCTACAAGGATCCATACCTCGCCTACTGCCTTGACTTTGTTTCCCAGAACTAACATTCCAATTGGGATACCTCTAAGGTTAGGGCAGCTTCTGATGTTGTGACCTGAAGGGCCAGTCTTCACTACCTTGTACACTCCAGGTCCACCTCGAAGGAATGGCATATCTTGCTCTTGCATCACTGCCTCCTGTGTGCAGCGTGAATTTATGTCTTTGAAAAAGTCATCAGTATTAGACCTAGGTTCCTGAAAAATTTAAAAAAGCAAAAGAAAAACAGAATAGAACCTGTTAATAATGCCTTTGCACTTTTTAGATTAGAAACACCTCTTCCCTAAGTCTGGAACAGTTAACTTCTTAACCTAGAAAGAGAAAAAAACTGGTCATAATGCCAGTTGAATTGTAAGTTTCCTTTCCAACTGATCGTTTTAGCTTGCAGAGGTACACACATCTCAACTACTGCTGCACTTGAAATGAACAGGCACTTCAGTGGAATATAAATTGTTTAAATTTGGGCCACTAAATATATAGTTCTTTTCATATGTGCAGTTTGACAAAAAATTATTTTCACCATCATTTTCATGAAGTATGTTGTGTTTAGTACTGTCATTTATCAGCACAGAGAATCCAAACATGCGATTGAATATCTTGCAAATATAACAGGTAAAAGTTACCAGTGATTAATCTGGGCATGTGTAACGGAGACGTATATGCTATCTGGTTTCCAATTCAAATGTGCTCCTTTCTCTGAACTCAATTTCAGGAATATATTGTAAACACTGAATAAAGGTAAAATTATTATTACTAAGGCCAAGTGGAGCAGTAACCCCATGTTTCTTGTATGCACATAATAAAATACTAGTGTGTATTTATTATTACATTTTTACTGTGACAATCAGAGTAGCATTGCAGACTTATTTTGCTTAGAACCAAGCAAGGATGAAGGACAAATCCAGGCCTGATCTGATGTTATACCTCTGAGGTATGACGATTCCATATGTTTAGAGTTCCTAGAAAACCCTCCAACCTTCACTGTAAATGAGGAATACTGGCATGGAGCTTCCACTGGCTGTAATTTAATAATATTTCCAGTATACATGAAGATAATGGGAAGGAACACTAATACACACTTTATATCACAAAGAAACAAATATGTAGCAGTAGCAATGACCGATGTACTTTAAAAACAAGACGTGTGACCTGCATACAAAGACCATTTGCAAGTGTGGTTAATTTCTTTATTAAAATCACAATTTTTGCACTGTTCAGTTTTCAGCTCTATTTGGTGTTGATTCCTGTGTTTTGTGCCCAGAATGTTATAACACCCCTCATAAAATGTTATAATAGCTTTCCCAAGAAAACTACGGCAACTGACCCATTACACAGTATAAAGTTGTTCTGCAAAGAAGGGAATTTTCAATTCAAGTTGTGGCATTTTCTAAAGTAAATTGTTTCAAGGGGAAAAAGAGCCTAATGTTCTACAACTAGAAGCTAAGCATTTTTGTCAATTAAAGTTTCTATATATCTACAGAGCAGCAAAGCAGTTCAGTGTTGTTGCAGGAAAAAAACAGTGAAAATTTACATTTTTAAGTAGCTAAACCAATATGCGTAATTATTTGAAAATAATTTCCATTAAAAAGATTCTATGGAAACTGCTGCCTAAAAAGCAACAATAGCCTTCCAAATATTTTACAAAAGCATCTGAGAGATATTTAAAACACTTAGTCATGTATAATGCAACTGGATATTTTTCTACGAATTATGACACTTTTGAAATAGATTAGTAAAGAAGTTAGTGTAGTGTTCATCAGCATGGGTATTTTTAGTAAAAGTCATGGACCGGTCACGGGCAGTAAACAAAAATTCAGGACCTGTGATCGGTCCATGAATTTTACTATATACCTTAACTAAAACTTGGGCTGGGGGTGCTCTGGGGAGGGCGGTCTGGGGTGCTGCAGGTGCTGGGCGGGGCGGCCCGGGACCCCCTCTGGGTGTGGGTGTGGGGGTGTGTGTGTGTGTGCGCGCGCCAGGCAGTGGCGCGTGGCCCAGGACCCCACTGATACTGGCGGGAGGTGGGGGTGGGGAGGGTTGGTGGAACAGGCTCTGGGCAGCCCCTGAGCCAGCCGCACTGGCCGCTGCAGAAGTCACGGAGGTCACAGAATCGGTCTCTTCCGTGACCTCTGTGACAGACACGCAGCCTTATTCATCAGCTGTGTTTATTAATATTTTTGAGCTGGCCCAGTTCATGGGGGGGCCTATTATGTTCAATTTACTGATTTTTGCAATGGACTGGGGGTGTATAGCACTGAAAACAGGGAAAGAAAAGTTTAGCAGTATACCTTGTCTATAAATATAAGCGATTGGAAGGTTCTCTTTTTAATGTTAAATGGCCAACAATGCTTGTGAATACAGTATTGTAATTAGGATGTACTATATTTAAAAGAAAATGGTTATTTTTGTGTTGCTGGAGGTTCACAGTAACCATCATTAGCATTTTGAACTAATAATTTTTCAATCTAGAGAACAGTGAGATTAAAGGAGTAGATACGCAATTCTACAGTATGGTATTTACATATCTAGCATTTCCTGCAAAAATACAGCAGACTTTAAAAGGTTATTTAATATAAATGTATTTATTAATGTAAAACATCAGGATATAATGTGACTGTTCTTGACAGTTAACTCACCTGGGGGGGAAAAGCTTTAGAAGTCCTTGAAAAAAAGTCCAAATCCCTGACTCCTTGGCTAGCATTAAAGACATTCTGAGCAACAAAGTTTAAAAAAAGACAAATATCAACAAGGAAATGGGAACAAGAGAACATTGGAAGAAGATGCTAGAGACATTGTAATTCAAATTGTCTGCATTCTAACATCAATATTAAAATAAATTGACTTTTTAAAATGAAGTCACTTGAGTCTATTGCTCACCATTGCAAATAATCTGTTAAACAAAAACAGATTCGTATGTCAAAAGCTCTAAACGGATGTAGTGTGTCATGCCATTTACTGAAATAAGAGCCAGACATCTGTTAAAGCTTGAGACTTGTGCAAGACAAACCCCACACTCCTGTCACAGTGAAACAATATATGTTCCAGTGCAAGCCAGATGTGTTTTATGACAAGAGAGTCTGCTGCTTTCTAAAGATTATTTGAGTGAATTAATGTGACATGGTTGAATGTGGACTTTCAGCCACCGTCTTCAAAAAAGTTGGAAAACAAATTATTGCCATACAGTACAACCTCACTAGTATGCACACCTAAAATTTGCATACAAAAATAGTATCCTCTCCCCGTTATACCAGAAGAAAAACTAAAATACAATGCGATAGGAGGGATTATCACTAAGAATTTATTAGTAGTACAAAATATACATTTACTAGTACATTATAAAATACAATAAAATAAATGCATTCTAAAATAAATGAATGAGTTTTAGCAAGCTGCAATTGCTGTCCCATTCAGTAGGTATTAGTGAGGTTCTACTGTACATTTTAAATAACTTTCACAATGCAGCTAGGAAAATATTCATTAATCTTCGGGGGGGGAAATAAAACAACCTATTCTCACATTAAAATACAAACTTTATTTCTTTCCACTTCAAAGAAACTCTCCCTGCTCCTGTCATATGCAAGCAAAATTTCATCTCTATTTAATGCAGAGTGTTAATTAACTATCATCAAAATGAATCTATTCCGCTGCATCTCTTTGGAATAGCAACACTTATCTAGACTAACAAAACATGCTTATTATTAAAATCATGTTTCCTAGGCCTGTTTTGACAAGGAAATTTAATGAAATCCTTGAACAGCAGTCATATTACAGTTTAACAGTGGTATATAGGAGAAGTAATGAACTGTCTTAGATAAAAAAAAAAAAAGTCATACAGAAAGCTTCTGACAAGTTTTTCCATACATTGCTTTTCCAAGGTTGTACATATGTTAAAAACAATGTAAGCAAAAAAAAAAACTAAAATAAACCATCTCAAACACAGATCAAGTTTTACTAACATGAAAAATTAAAAAACTAGAACAGAACAATACTAATTCTGACACCTTTTTAGAATACATTATATTCATGTAGTGCTGGAACAGGCACATTTATACACAAACAAGGTGGCTGACGTCCTTCCTGTTAAGGTAGAAAGATGAAATATAGACCCAGACTTTTGGCATAAATCTAAGAGAACTATTAAAGCCTGTATTTGTCTGATCAGTTTATTTTTTAATTCAATTTATATTAACAGATTGAATGTCTAATTTTGCCATTTATTCTCAATGTCTATTCTTAACAGAGAAATGCAGACTTTCCGTACATAAAACAACATCAAAAATGATTTTTCTGGTGCTCTCTTTCGAAGTTGCGTATTATTATTTTTGTGTTATAAAGCTGTATGTGAATGCAATGAACACGAAATTATCAGCAGGAAAAAAAGCAATATAATGGCTGTGCAACAATGAATATACTAAATTTATGGCTTATAATATGCTGAATGCCAGTTTAAAGGAATGTACATGCATGTATATGTTGGTTTAAAAACGCCAATAAAATTCTGCCAGATTGAAAACAATGTTTCCATTTTGAAGAAAAAAAATTAGATTGACAGATCAGCAAATGTGTCACATTTTAGCCCTTCGGCTGCCATTTGTAGACTCTCAATTCCTATTTTTTCCTTTGCAAACCAGTTTTGAACAAAAAATCTCATTCTTTACACACAATTTTTTCATTAAGATTTGAAAATATTTTAAATGCAAATTACTTAAACAACAACATTTTAGCAGAGAATTTGGGGAGAGTTTAACAATTTTAATTAATTTGAATTTTCTGAAGTACAGTGTTGCAATCATTTTTCTATCTTAGAGTGTGCTTTTACTGTGAAAACAACTCTAAAATGACATACTGGGAATCAATTTTTATTGTGCTTCAATGATTTCATATAAAATTCCCTCAGATTACAAGATACTTCCCCCCCCCACTAAACTCTGCCAATTAAACCTGTGATCTGGAAGTTATACCGGATTCTTTTCTTCTTATGCCCTGCCACTACAGTAAAGGTTCAGGAAGCCAAATTCTTCCTGCAGGGACACCTATACGAACCTGTTGGCTTACAACGGGCACAAGTGTAACAGAGCAATGTCTGGCTTGCAGAAGACGGTTTTTCTCGTTAACAAATGAAATTTGAAATTAAGTAATTGAGAGATACACAAACACAGTATCACTCTTTAGAGCAGAACCACACTTGAAAATTATA